CTGCGAAATCTTTAATTGTTATGTTTTAATAAAAGCAAAGAAAAATTTTAAAGTTACAAGTTTAAGAAGCGCAAAGTGCCCTGGACGCCTATTAACAACGCGTTTTACGATATAAAACAAAATCAATTATTTTCTGTTCCTTGAAAATATTTCTAGAATTCCCCAGTCCTTGATGGATTAGTAAAGTTCGAGGACCAAACTTTAAACTTTTTCTGTCCAAAGCTTGATCCTTGATCCTAACTTTCAGGTTTACATTTTCATTTATATTTCTTTCCTTCCATATTATTCAATCCATGCACAGATTTAACAAAACGGTTCTTATCACATCAAACTGGGACGTTAGAAAAATTAAACTACAGTGTTTCGCCTTTTTTCTTCTTTACTTCTAATCGGCAAATGCGTTTTAAATGAAAATGTGAAAGATCTGAGTTTTTACTTTTTTTCCACAAACTGATTTTCATAATCCATTTATCTTTCCAACCCAATGCATGCCGTAGATCTCAGATATTTCAAACAAGAAATCGCATAAGCTAGTTTGTAGTTTGAAATAATCTAAGTTTGAAACATGACAGGTTTACACCATCAGGTTGCAAAAATATATGGTCTAGATTTAGAAAATTTGAGTTTTGACTAAGACTCAATTCCTTTAAAGGTGGTTGAATTATAGACCAATGCGTGATTGCTACTCAAATTCAGGCTGTACAAAGCAAAAATAAGATTACAAATTACCTTTTAGGGGCCGGGGGGGAGGGAGGGTATGCAGTTAATTTAACACAGTTAAATAAAGTTATTATAGGGGTAGGCAGAAAAGAGGAATATTGGAAATAATGATTTTCTGCAATATAAATATGTATCAATTACTAGTACAGTCGCTTAAAATTGTAATTTGTAAAAATGATAAAAAAACGCGATCAGATAAAAAAAACTAAACGCTGCAATTATAGCTCCTGGGTGAATATGAACCCGGAGAGAACTTCCTCATAATTTGTCTTTATTATCTTATCCCTCCTAATTTGACTTAATCACTTTATCTTCAGATAACAAATTGGCGTCAATAGGATCCCCCCCTTCCCCGTCGTCCAATAGTCCTCCATGCATATATATCATAGGACTCATCAGTTCTTTTTGAGAAATTTGCAGAAAGGTTCAACAAAAATTGTTTTAATATGCAAAAATATATTTCATATTCAAGAAAGAAAATGTGCAAAATTTCTTCAAAGTTTAAAGCTTTTTTTGTTATATGGTTTACCGAAATTTTACAAATTGTTGAAATCTAAATAAATGGTACACTATTAATATGAATGTTTAGACAGGGTGTCCGGGTCCCACGAAACAGCAGGAATGACAGCATGACAATTTGAAAAACGTCGTGATCTTAGAATTTATTTGGGATATTTGCAGCACTTAAGCAGTCGTAAACTCCGTAAACCGCCTTTCTTACGTATGATACTCTTGAAACAATAATCACAAAATTTTCCTGGTCGACCGGGCTATTCAAAATATGGTCTGCCTTTTATGTGCTGTCAATATTACAGAAGATATTGAAAATTTCGTTCACACTTGAATTTTATGAAATAAAAACACTATTGTCGAAATCTGAACAATTCAATCATATCTCCAGTAATTTTGAAAGCAGACCACATTTTGGTTATGCGCCAAGACTTTAAGGCTATTCAGTTCAGTGACCAATTATAAATCTCGAACTTCAGATCTACTAACTTTCCGACCTATTGCAATATCGGACCTTCGCCAATTGTTTATTTTTTATTATTTGATGGTTAGGTTAGGTTAAGACAATTCTGGGCCGAGCGCTGCAGCTAGGATAGTGGCCAGACGCCGTGGCTGGGGGCCAGGCGCTGCAGCCACAGTCCTGCATATAGGAGCTGTAAAATCACGTGCTTGTAGGTCGGATGTGTAGTATATACCGGATTCTCCAACAGGGTGACTTTCTTTGAAGAATTTCCGAGGAATTTCTCGAGAATCATTTCCTGTAACTGGTTCCTTGGAAATTTTCAAAAAATTCCCCAGAATTGGACCCTAAGATGAGAGAATTTTGGGGGATCACATTTTTGAGATTCAGTTTTGAGAAATTCTTTGTAACTTTTTCCCCACGAAATTCCTCAGTATTTCTCTGAAATACTTCTCCGGAAATTCATGAGAAATTCTTAGGACTTGGTCACCATGTTGACGGATTTTTAGGGGAATTTATTGAGAGAATAAGTTTCGAGAAATTCCTGGGAATTTCTACAGAATTTTACCTCAAGAAAATCCTGAGAATTTCTCCTGATTACTACTCCGGAAATTCCTGGGAAATTCTTAGTACTTGGTCACCAAGTTTACCAATAAGTAGGGGAATTATATAAGAAGTGTCTGTAAAAATCGATGTGAGTACAAATGAACATAGTTTAGTGGAAATGAACAAAAAAAGTTTAATCTAACTAAAATCGAAAATTTCACCATTGCCCATTAAATATTATTAGTACAAATGTACATATTTTAGTGTAAATGAACACAATAAAGTTCAATCGAGTTAAAATAAAAAATTTCACCAATCTCTCATAAAATATTATTGGTATCATACTAACCCAAAAACTTAAAAATATGTATTACATACGTATACAGGTATTTTTAGGTTTAGGAATATGTAAACATACATATTTTCCATATGTATGACATCCAGATTTTTGTAATCATTTCCTTGGTAAAAATACGTATTTTATATCCATAAAAATCTGTATTTGACAAACGTAAAAATGCGTATGTAAAAAACCTAAAAAATCCAATGAATCAGAAATTAGGTTTTTCCTATACATGACTTAGGTTTGAAAAAATCCTAACATTTCTTAATTTTTGAAATTTTTAGGTTTTACCTATATAATTTTTCAAGTTCTAAAACCAAAATGTTAAGAAGGGACTATAATTTTGCATGGGCATTGTTCAGAGGCGAATTCATATATGCATTTTGACTGTATTTTCAACAATTATGTAATCAGTATGTGTTATATTTAATACAATTACCATTATACCTGTTACAAGACTGTCAAAGTAAAACTTCTATAGCAATTTTGAAACATTGCATTTTCCAAAATGTATGCATTAAATTTCTTACAGAACAATTCTCTTAAAAAAAGTACAACATATTTTCAAATTCTAACTTAAAAATGCATTTTTGCTCAGTTGAGGTTTCGTGAATATATTGACACTTAGAAAAATCACTTGGTATGAAATTTACGAAAATATATGTATTTTTAAGTTTGCCTCAAACCTTCTAACTCTAAAAAAAAATTAAGGTAAGAAAAACACGTAAAAATTCATATAGTAAAAACCTAAAAACTTAAAAAAATTACTTGGTATGAAATTTACAAAAATATACTTATTGTGCATCAAATTTTTTAAAAATACAATTTTTTAAGTAAAGAAAAAAACCTAAAAAATACATAAAAATTCGTAAAGTCAAAACATATAAACCTTGAAAAATTTCTTGGTATGAAATTTACGAAATTATACGTATTTTTAGGATTGCATCAAACTTTTAAACTCTTTAAAAAATGCAATTTTTTAAGCAAAGAAAAAACCCAAAAAAATATTTAAAAATAAGTTAAATAAAAATCGAAAAACGTTGAAAAATTTATTGGTATGAAATTTACGAAAATATACGTATTGGTTTGCATCAAACTTTTAAACTTGAAAAAATACAATTTTTTAAGAAAAGTAAAAACCTAAAATATGCGTAAAAATACGTAAAATAAAAACCTACAAATTTAGAAAAATTATTTGGTAAAAAGTATACGTAATTTTTCGTATAAATACATTTCTTGAAAACCAAAGCATTTAAAAAAAATTGTTGGTATGATAAATACATAAAATACGTAAGTTCTTTACCCAAAAGTTTAGCATACATATTTACTATTTATACGTAAAAATACCTAGTAATACTTATACCTATATAGAGACTTTAGTATTTTTAGGTTTTCGGGTTAGTAGGGTACAAATGAACATATTTTAGTGCAAATGAACAAAAAAATGTTCAATCGAACTAAAAAAATCGAAAATTTCACCATACCCGGAAATTATAATTATAATATAATGAACATATATTCCAACAAAATTTTTTTGGAGATGTTCATTTGCACTAACGTTTAATTGGACAATGTTACAGAAAAAAATAGTCTGAACACATTTTTGTTGGATCCATGTTCATTTGCACTAACGTTCAAATGAACTTCCAGAAAAAAATTAGTCCGGGTTTGAACAAATTTTTTGTTGGAGATGTTCATTTGCACTAACGTTCAATTGGACTAATATTTACAGAAAAAAATTAGTGCGTTTGAACAAATATTCTTAGTATTCCAGATCAATTGCACTATAATGATCATGCATAGTAAAATATTCCTGCAATGCATGGCGCGAAAATAAATTATTCCTAACGGGAAAATAAAAATTTAGTCCAATTAAACAAAGCAAAGCTTGAATTTGTCCATTTGCATTAATGTTGATCGTACTAGAAACCGGTTACTGATCACCTGACTTTACAAGTGCAAATGTACGTTAGTTCAATCGGACATTAGTGCAGACGATATAGCATCTATAAAATATAACAAATTGGTCGTCTTTTTTTTGTGTTGAAAACAATTCTTCTCAAACGCGGCATTAATACATATGTTTCACGAATTGCGGGGCGCGGATATCCGATATATATTATTATGAAGAAGTATCTTTCGACCTACGCAAATCTGCTTTACTCCGGACTTCTGATCTATAACGCCAAATCCGCTATACTACACATCCGACTTACTTGCAAGTTGTTTACAGCTGCTTGATGGCAGGCCGGCCCCGGTATATTCCTAGAGAACGATTTTTGGACCCTCCATCAAGCGTTCAATTGGAAATTAACCATTATTACATATCATTACCGAAATGTTGAAATTTTTCAATATTAACAATTTGACGTACCAAAAACCTGTATCACAAAGCCTATAGGTTTAAAACACATAAATGAAAGTATTGTTACTTTTTCAGTTCTGAAAATTGTTTATAATGTTGGTCCTACGGACTGGTGTGGCCGAGCTGCACTATTTGGACGAGGATGGAACGGTTGTAGGGGATCCTGTTGACGTCTTCATGGTTCAAGATCAGATCCCGACAGCGCCAGAAGATGTCAAAATATTTTTCCAGAAAGACGCAATTACAAAAAAGCAGGTAGGGGGATTCTAAAAACTAGAACTTTGGATCCGGATCCGTCGGATCTGCAAGACTTTGGCTTCATGGATCCAGATGCGGATCCACGTATCCGGATCCTAGATGCAAAATATCGGTGTTGTGTCATTTCATAGATAGGTAATTCACAGACAGGACATTTCATTAACAGGGCATTTCATAGACAGGACTTTTCATTAATAGGACATTTCATTAATAAGACATTTCATTGATAGGACATTTCATTAACAGGGCATTTCATAGACAGGACTTTTCATTAATAAGACATTTCATTGATAGGACATTTCATTGATAGGACATTTCATTAACAGGACATTTCATTAACAGGGCATTTCATAGACAGGACTTTTCATTAATAAGACATTTCATTGATAGGACATTTCATTGATAGGACATTTCATTAACAGGACATTTCATTAACAGGGCATTTTATAGACAGGACTTTTCATTAATAAGACATTTCATGGACAGGACATTTCATTAACAGGACATTTCATTGACAGGACATTTCATTAACAGGACATTTCATAGACAGGACTTTTCATTAATAGGACATTTCATTAACAGGGCATTTTATAGACAGGACTTTTCATTAATAAGACATTTCATGGACAGGACATTTCATTAACAGGACATTTCAGTGACAATAAATTTCATTGACGGGACATTTCATTGACAGGACATTTCATTGACGGGACATTTCATTGACAGGACATTTCATTGACAGGACATTTCATAGATTGGACAACTTCGTATTTATCTATTTCGTTAATCAGAGGTAAACATTAATAAATAGCGAGATGTACTTGACCCTGCACGGATAGGAGAACCAGAGGATAATTTAAACATGGGAATTAAGTGACTATTTCTATATCGTCTTTGTTTTGCGAAGTATCATTACGTTTGCACATTTTTTGTAGTTAAGGCAGTTAAGAATCAAAACTTCTAGTCTTAGGAATTCCAAATGAGATATTAATAAATCTGTCCAAATTCTAATTTATTAAATCACAACGAAATCTTTTAAACGTGCTCCGTCCATTTGAAGATACAAAGAAGGCAGACCACATTTTCAAAAGCTCATAAAACGCGCGCTGAGTCTTTATTTTGCCAACTCTTTGACATATCAACTATTGGAAATTGAAGACGATTTTCAACTCGTCTCTTAATTCCCGTGTTTATTGGGACACCCTGTAGACAAGTTGAAGAGTAATTTCTAATATTTATTTCAGTTCTTGGCATACAATATTTTAGAATTGGAAATTATAAGAAACTTATAAGAACAAAACATTTGCATAATATAAACTTTTAAATCTACATACCATACCATACATGCTCTGGTGAGTCATTAGCTCCTCCATCAAGGGATCCAATACAACTGAATTTACAACTGTGGTAGGCGATAATACCACGACCACGAAGTCGACTTCTTCTTAAAGTTTTTATTGTTAAAAAGCTTTTTCGAATTAGAAATGAAAAAAATAATGAACTTCACTTCCAGCTCAATCATTTTCAATTATGATAATAGGGATTTCTTCATAGTCGAAAACTAGACAAATAATTAGAAGGTACCGTTGTAAATATTGTAAATCGAATATACCGATCGGGCCCAAATTTTCTGTGGGACCTTACATGATCCCAGGGAAGGTTTATGGATGCTCAAAATTACAAAAATCCGCGAATTTTTTGTCATTGTTTTATATTCTACAAAGAGAATATGTTTTCATATAGGGCCTAAATGTCTTGTATATTAAATTTTGATTAACACTAATAACTTTCCATCAACAAACCTTTCCGCTACATATCTCTTGACTTTTTTGTATTTCTATTAGAAAAGATATGTTTGATGAAAGTATTTATATATTTAGGCTAGTTTCTACTGCCTGCTTTGCCAGACTTACATCAATAATCTGTACGGTATGAAAGATCACTGTGCAGGAAGAAAACACAAAAACAATCTGGGGAAACTCGAGCAGTCCGGTAAGATTTTTGGAAACCAAGTTTTGTCACAATTTTTGTGGACTCTTGATTTTTAGGGTTTCATTATTAATTCACAACCATGCCCAGTTAAATTGATAATGTTTTTTTTCTACACTGGTAGGCGATTATATATTAATAAAATGAAAACAACTTTTTTATTCAAGTTTTAATTGTTAATAAGCTTTTTTTAGAATAATAAGTTACAAGTAAATAAAAAGAAGCTTTTTAAATTTTCTTTGTTTCCATGTTTTTGTGTATCCACGCTTTTTAAAAGCTTAATATAAATCAAAATTGAAATAAAAAGTAGTCTTCATTATATCTATATATAAATTTGGCTTGTCTGTCTGTTTGTTTGTCTGTCTGTCTGTTTGTATCCAATAAACGTCAAAACGGCTGAACCGATCGGGCCCAAATTTTTTGTGGGACATCTAGGGACCCCAGGGAAGGTTTATGAAAAATCAAAATTTCAAATATTTGTCTCCATCAAAATTCGATCGTCATTAAATTTTTAAAAATTTTGAAAATCCGCGAAATTTTTGTGAAAATCCGCGAATTATTTTTGTTTTGTTTTACGATGTACACAAAGAGAACATGTTCACAACTAATTTAGAAGATGGGCGCGAAGCGCCCTCTAAGGCTAGAAAGAAGGGCGCGAAGCGCCTTGAATTTCTAGTATTGATATAGTCGCCTACCAACGTATAGTCTACAGATTTGTTATCTCTCAGGTTACATGTGTGTGTTTAGATAAGCTAGAATATGATGGGTTGGTTCCTTCTACTTCAATATCAAGACTAGATACACCCTCCCCCTCAACCATAGAGCCCTCAACCTCCTCCTTACCCAGCTCTAAACCTCTGGAGATTAATCCCTACCACCAGGTATAGAACCCCCCCCCCCTCCTCCCTACCGAGATATAATCCTCTAGAGATTAATCCGTACCACCAGGTGTAGAACCCCCTTCCTTCCTGACCAAGATCTAATCCTCTAGAGATTAATTCATACCACCAGGTATAGACCCCTCCTCATCCCTACCGAGATATAATCCTCTAGAGATTAATTCATACCACCAGGTATAGAACCCCCCTCATCCCTACCGAGATATAATCCTTTAGAGATTTTATCCTTACCACCAGGTATAGAACCCCCCTCCTCCATCCCGAGATATAATCCTCTAGAGATTAATCCCTAGTGTTTTTTGGGTAATAATTATTAAAACCTTCCGTCCCAATTAAAGTCACTTTTTTTCAAATTTTCCTCCAAATTATTCTCCTGAGAATATACTCCTGGCTGTAGCTATATTTTGATGCTATTTTCAGGCATGGGCTGGAACTGCTGAGGATTGTTTGACCCTTGTATCTGGTCCTGGTAAGTGAAAATTAAAAATCTAAACTAGGCATTTAGGGCTTCACGCTTCGCGCCCATCCTCTATTAAACTTTTAATTATGGCTCTAACTGTGAGCAATTTTTTTTCACTGATAATTCAGTATAAAGGGTTGGATATTTTATTGACAAATAATTTCTCTTTAAATTACAGTTAAATATTGATAATTCAGTATAAAGGGTTGGATATTTTCTTGACAAATAATTTCTCTTTAAATTACAGTTAAATATTGATAATTCAGTATAAAGGGTTGGATATTTTCTTGACAAATAATTTCTCTTTAAATTACAGTTAAATATTGATAATTCAGTATAAAGGGTTGGATATTTTCTTGACAAATAATTTCTCTTTAAATTACAGTTAAATATTGATAATTCAGTATAAAGGGTTGGATATTTTCTTGACAAATAATTTCTCTTTAAATTACGTTAAATATTGATATGAAAAAATTAATTTTTATCGGTAAGCTTAAAAGAAAAATACGCCTAAATCTTTTCAAAGCTGTGCGATCAACTTAAGAAAAATTATCATTATTGCTTAAACATTTTTGTTTGGCAATCTAATCTACAACCGCTGAATTTATTGATGTAATACTTTTTTAATATTATTTTATTTTTTTGTTGTTGAAAGGAGTAGCCGAGTTTCGAGTAGAGAATAAAACTGTAGATGCGTATGATTTCCAGCAAGTGCATAAAGTTATTCCATTCGGATTTTTCAGGTAAGGTTCTAAGTAAAATATGTTAAAATAGTAGCATTTTATTTAGCAATGTAAGTGGTTTATTGCTACATACTGTTACAGTTTACTTTTACTACACTTTCCAAGCACTTAGCGTCCCTATTCTAGTAACAATTCTAGCTGTAAACTGTTGCTCTTCAAGCAGCCATTTTCTTTGTAAATGGTATTGCGCGGATTTTTCTGGTTAAATTTGCGCATTTTCTAAAAAAAAAATGTCGATATTTTTTCAGGGAGAAATGTTTCATCTGACACTGTTCAAATGTTTTGACTTATTAACTAACACATTTTCAGTCTTTCTTAAATACACATTTAGATTTTAAAAATGTTGCAAATATCTATGCATTTTTTAATTTTCTGGGTTCAGGGCTTTTCAAAAAAGTTTAATTTGTAATATTTGGCGCACTTTTTGTGTTTGCACATTTTTTGTTAAGTTGGATTTTGCATTAAATATTTATATTTTTTGAAAATTTTCTTTTTTTTTGCAGATTATTAAATTTTATGCATCAAACGTTATAGATTTTTATCACAATAAAGACTAGTTTTAGTAAAGTAAAAGGGTTAAACAATAACCATCCACAAACCTTCACTTGGGTCATGTAAGTTGCGATGATCTGTTTAGCCGTTTTTATTGGATAAAAAGCAAATAGACATGTAAGAAGGCAAATCTTATATACTGATACTCTGGATAACATCTCTGTAATTTCGTGAATAAAATATCTGAAATTTTAAGTTTGTGCAATTTTAGGATTGCTAAGATATTTAAATATGGACTGTTCTAGGAAATCAAGTTCTGGTTTCAACAGCAGCTTCCACTGTATCGTCTGTGATATATCTCTTACTGATCCTATTCAGGTTGAAAATATGTTTAACATGAGACAAAACAGGGGTGTTTACTTTTATAGAATTACCCCTCCCCCCCCCGTGAATGATTTTTGATGAATAGGGGGAAAAAATGAAAAATTGGCCATCGAAAGGCAATTTTTAACTATTTTTGATACATTTTAACAAAAAAATCATTTATTTTTCATGAAAAATTATTTATTTCCCCCAATTCAGCGAAAACTCAAAAAATTTATAATTTCTGGGGGAAAACAATGATTTTATCTAAGGGGGGGGGGGGGATAATTTTGAAGGAAAAAATACACCGATGGGACAAAATGCATCTTTAGAGACACACAAATAACAACAACTCCAGCATTTGGATGATTTTTTTCTAATTTTTTCCTTAAATATGGGGAAAGATACACATTTGGAAAATGACTAAAAAAGAAAAAAAATCATTTATTTTTTTTCCGAAAATTCGATAAAGAATAATATTAATAATAATAATAAAGGAAACATATTTGTTGTTTAGATAAAGATTCACTGTGCGGGACGGGAACACTTGAAGAATGGTATGGATTATTCCCGCAGGAAACTTGGTGTCGTTCCCGCTAAAGTTAAAGATGTTCCAGCGTTCCAGTCACTGGTGTCCGTGATGCAGTCTGCCAAGGAACCATGCATAGGTAGAATACTAGGGTATATTCATATGTTCCAGTCACACTATCTGTTATATTAGGTATGTTTTTAAGGGTTTAATTCGCTGAATTGGGGTGAATAATTGATTTTCTTTAAATATCAAAAAGGATTAAAATCTTTTGACGTCAAATTTTTTATTTTTTTACCAAGAGCATCAGAAAATGTTGAAAAATCTATTCTTGGAAAAAAAATGAATAAAATCTATTATTTGATAAATTGAATTATGTTATTCTAGGACTAGAGCATCTGGAAGAGTGGTGGGAAAGTAGTGGAAACGAGCCTCCTATATACACCTGTAAACTATGTGAGGTAGAGTTGGGGTTGTATTTATCTAGATAATAACGAAAACTTGAGAAAGTGCCCGGCAAAAAATAAAAAAGTGAGAAAAAATATTTTTTTCCCCTTTTTCCACATTTTTCCATGTTTTTTAAAGCTTTTTCACCAAAACGTCTGAGTCAAATACCAACTAGGTGCTTTAAACACCTGCTTGTTAGTCAACAATCTCATTACTAACATCAGAACGATGTTTAAGGTTTTTCAGATCCTTTTCCCCCTATTTTTCCCTTATTTTATCATATTTTCCACTTTGATAATATTTTCAGATTTTCCTGATTCATAAATTAATTTTTTTAACGAAAATAAAATTTTTTTTGCAAGCTTAAGTGCCCTGTGTGGCCCGTAGAATTAAAAAAAATCGACTTTTCAATAGAAGATTTTAAAATAGTAACCTTTCAAATATTTAATTTGAAGAAAAGCAACAATTTAATAAATATTTCAAAATGTATCTAAAGTTTATTCTTATCGTTTCCTGTCCTTACACTAATCCAAATGTTGACCCTCAGAATAGATATATATGCGAAAACGATCCAATTTCATAGTAAATCAATCAATTTTGACGCTGTTGCACATTTTATAGAAATAATGCATTCTACCTTGTTCATTTCCGTCTAAAGATACGGCAATTTGATACCTATTGTAGTATAAAATCTCGTAGGTTTGGGGTCCGTGTGCTGTGATTTACGCGCACACGATAAACGAGACGCATCGCCGGAAGCAGCTGATTTTCCGGTTTCCAGTCTTAGCAAAGATGATTTCCGCCATGGATAGGTATTCTTAGTAACTAACTATACAGGATGTCCCCAATTCTTAGTAACTAAATATAATACGGGGTGTCCTCAAAAAAGGCTTTTTAGGTTCTACGGCTCTTATCGAAATAATTATATTCCTCCAATATTATGTAAAACTATAAAATAGTTTTGCTTCGCAAATATATCCTTCTAAAGTTTTCGTTGGCTAAATAGTAAATATAAAGAGTGTCCTCAAAAAAAGTTTTAAGGTTCTACGGCTCTTTTTAAGTTTTCAAAATTTACGCAATATTTTCGATCAATATACACACTACACAGTCCAATAAGAGGTATGAAGCCGGAAAAATTAAGAAAATTTTGACAGTTTGAAAGATTAAATAAAATTTGTAATTGTTTTTAATGATTTTATGATTTATAATGTTTAAAATTTGATTTGATTTATTAATTGAAAAATGGAGGATGATTGATTGATTGTTATGTTTGTGTAGAATTGAGTTGTTAGAACGAGCAAAGGAGGAAGAGGATAAACATGGTGGATGGGAGAACAGAAACTACAAGGGACACATTTGTAAAATCAAAAACTAAAAGGATTTTCATGTTTATTTTCTATGCTTATTCAAAATTATTTGTCTAGAAACTAGATTTCTGAAGTTTTTTCTTTCAATTTTAATTTTAATTTTTGATTCATTGAATGCCATTGTAAGAGCCATTTATTTACCCCTTTTTAAACTTAAGATATCTTGGGTATTAAACCATTTTTTTTACAGTTTTGAGATGTTCCGTTGTGAATCCTTATTGACAGTATTAAATTGAATTTGAAGTTTATGTCTCCGTCAAAACAACATAACAATGACAAGTTTAAAAAAATACTGAAACATATTTGATTTTGAATTGTAACGTCTGTTAAGGATATAAAGAATAGAACAGATGATATTAAATATGCTGCTCTCAAGTAAGCATAATCTTATTTTAAATGATTTTAATATGAAACAATTACCAATCTTAACTCTTCCAGTTTATAAATGAAAAGTTTCCTGTACCATCAATGAGAAGGGTTGGGTCAAAATCATTAATTATAATTAATACGATAAAAATGATATTTTTTTTCACAGGAGAATGATTTCTGGAAGTTGTAACCCTGTTGGGAACCCATTCAGTGCTGAGGAATTAGAGGACGAGGTTGCAGACCTAGCTCAGGCTAAACGATCCTCCGAGCACATCCATTCAACCTCCGAGGTCGGCTTGGGCAATCCTGGGCCTTGGGAGGACAGAGGTCCTCGAGGTCGGGGGTTTTCAGACCGAGGTAGAGGAGGTTTTGTGGACAGAGGCAGAGGTTTTGGAGACCGAGGTCGGTGGTTTGGAAATAGAGGTCGAGGATTAGGACGGGGAGATTTTGGTCCAAGGGGATGGAGAGGAGGTCATCCTCGGGAAGTTCCACGTCATCCTGAACCTGGATTTAGTCGGGGAGGTCGAGGGTTTGTTCGTGGAGGAGCTGGACATATCTCTGGAACAGGTGAGGGTCCTCTGTATGGTAGAAAGATGAATGGAGAGTTTGAGAAGTATAACGAGGACACCAGGATACCGTCCTTGCAGGACAGGGACATGTTCGTTCAAGACAACTTCAGACACAGGGTAAATATTATTTATACAGAACTGTCAAAAATAGTTTAAAATTATCATTCTAAACTGGCGTTTAAATTTAAATATCGTGGCGTTGAATATTAAGATTTGAAAATATTAATCTCAATAAAATGTTATTGATGAGAGGGAATGGAAGGGGGTTATTTATTTTTAAGAGAAACTCCAGTCTGTTTAAAATTAAATTGAAATTTTTTTATTAACTGGTGAGCCCCCTCCCCCCCCCCCCCCNTTCCGTTTTGAAAAATCGCTATGGTCAATTATCTGATCCGAGTAAAATTTTAGCTTTGAGTAAAACAAACTTGTCTAATTTTAAACAAAAATTGATTGAATCTTAGATTCTTTTGAAGCCTTTAAAAGCCTAAAACCTTTAAATGATTAAAAAAGGGCCTCAAAACAATTCCTCTCAGTTTCTCTCTTTACATAAAACAAGTTGATAAAAGTATCGTTTGAAGTAACAAATTGATTTAACTCTTCTATTTGAAGAACATGTAGATTTTTAAGCCACTTAACTGAATTCTCTTTCCTTTTCATTTTTTTGGGGGAAGAGAATTTACTCATGGAACTTATTGAAAAAATTCTTTTTCCGAGACAATTTCCTTCATTTGTTTTTAAGAAACCTTAAGGGAAGAAAATTTAAGCAAAAAGAAATTCTTTCTTTTTTAAGTCTAGTTTTGGGGAAGAAAATTCAAACCGAATTTTTTTCTTTTTTCCTCTCTTCTTTCAAACTTTTTCACTCCACGTGTAAAGAAAGAACGTTTATTTCCGTTTTGATTAAAGTGTGTAGTTTCTTTTCAGGTTTGAGCAATAGCTTCCTTTTGTCATTTTGATACGGATCCATGGATAAAGAACAATATGTTTACGAATCCAGATCCAAGAAGTTTAAATTTTTTATCTCAATCCCCTGGGCCTTGATTTCAAGTTTTTAAATGCGGATAAAGATAAAAAAATTGAAAACTTTTAAAGATTGGTTAATTTTTAGGGCGTGAAAGAGTCCGAACGGTTAGACATTCAAATCGAACAAAATTCTTATTCTGAAGGGGACCCTCATCAGAGAGACGATTTTAGATCTGGAGATAGAAGTGAATTTAGGAGTGATTTTAGGAGTGATTTTAGAGGCGGTTTTAGGGGAGGTTTTAGAGGAGACTTCTCATATGGTGATTCTAGGTTAGAACATTTCTTTTGGTGGATTTTGAATATTACTTTAACACTGGTTCGCAAATATATTTTACCATTCAAATATTTCAATTTTCTCTTGAGTTTCTATTAATTTTGAAGGTATTCTGGTTTATATTCAAATATTTCATTTTACTCTTGAGTTTCTAATAATGTTTAAGGTATTCTGGTTCATTTTCAAATATTTCATTTTACTCTTGAGTTTCTAATAATGTTTCAGGTATTCTGGTTCATATTCAAATATTTCATTTTACTCTTGAGTTTCTAATAATTTTTAAGGTATTCTGGTTCATATTCAAATATTTCAATTTACTCTTGAGTTTCTAATAATTTTTAAGGTATTCTGGTTCATATTAGGCTCGGAGACGAAGGGGGTCTGTATGTGTGTATATGGTGTATTAAGTGCTATATGGATTGAACTATAAGCTCAATAATCTAACGTTCAATTATATTTTTTTATTTTACGAAAAGAGCTCTTAAATTTCCTCTGGGTCAGGAATCATGAATTGCTAAATTGCAAAACAGGGTGGACTTCGTCATTTCTTGCCCCCCTCTACAGGGAGGGGCATGCCCCCCCCTTAATCAGGCTAGGGGGGGCCTGCCCCCCCTCTAGTTGCGCGCCTGAGTCAAATATTTCATTTCACTCTTGAGTTTCTAATAATTTTTAAGGTATTCTGGTTCATATTCAAATATTTCAATTTACTCTTGAGTTTCTAATAATGTTTAAGGTATTCTGGTTCACGTTCAAATATTTCATTTTACTCTTGAGTTTCTAATAATGTTTAAGGTATTCTGGTTCAAATTCAAATATTTCAATTTACTCTTGAGTTTCTAATAATTTTTAAGGTATTCTGGTTCATACAAATATTTCAATTTAATCTTAAGTTTCTAATAATTTTTAAGGTATTCTGGTTCATATTCAAATATTTCATTTTACTCTTCAGTTTCTAATTTTTAAGGTATTCTGGTTCATATTCAAATATTTCAATTTAATCTTAAGTTTCTAATAATTTTTAAGGTATTCTGGTTCATATTCAAATATTTCATTTTACTCTTCAGTTTCTAATAATGTTTAAGGTATTCTGGTTCTTGTACAAATATTTCATTTTACTCTTGAGTTTCTAATAATTTTTAAGGTATTCTGGTTCATATTCAAATATTTCATTTTACACTCGAGTTTCTAATGATGTTTAAGGTATTCTGGTTCATGTTCAAATATTTCATTTTACTCTTGAGTTTCTAATAATGTTTAAGGTATTCTGGTTCATTTTCAAATATTTCAATTTACTATTGAGTTTCTAATAATGTTTAAGGTATTCTGGTTCATATTCAAATAGAAATATTGAGGTTCGGATGAGGAAACATTATGCAGATAGGTAAATATCTCAATAGTATCACAAAAGTTTACATTTTAAGACCCCCCCCCGCTCACGTTTTTCGACTTAATAAACTGTTTACTTTTCCAAAAGGCAGTACACTTCATAGCTTTTGAGAGCATAAATAATAAATTTAGCTTAAAACCTTTTTTTCTTTCCATTTTTTACTTTATACTTGCACAATTAATGATGAACTATCCTTACATAATTTCATAGTTTTGTTTTCCCAGAGTTGAAATATTCAGCGATACCAAACTTGAAAAATAAATTGTGAAATAATTCATCCGCCGAAAGATGGTTAAAAAAATTACATTTTTATCTGTAATTTAATAATCGTACGCCCATCTTCTATTTCAACTTTTGGCTCGATCGGTTCAGCTGTTTTGACATTTATTGGATGCAAACAAACAGGCAGACAGACAAGAAACGCAAAGTATATATACAGTAGTAAAACCATAGATTTTCTCATAAATACTTGGATCAAAACAAAAATAATATCTAAGAACTTGAGATTCTATTAGGATTTGTATTCCTCCCTCCCCTCCCGGCCCTAAACTTCAGTTATTCCAGGTATTACGGCCCTGAAGAGGGGGATAGTCAGTATATTCGGGAACAAAGGTAAATTCAACATCTAAAATTGAATTGCTGGTTGATTGGTTGGTTTGTTGACTGACTGACGGATTGATTGATTAATTGATTGATTGATTGATTGATTGATTGATTGATTGATTGAGTACATTATGCATAAAAAAACTAGATAAATGTAGAAATTTACGCTTCTAGTGTAAGCCGNCCCACCAACGTGTTAGGATTAACTCGTTGAATCAATGACACTGGATTATTTGGTAGAAATTATTCGGATTAATAAACTAATGTATTGCAGAGTGGACAGTGGATCATTTGGAAGAGATTATATTCTTCATAGAGGAAAAAGACCAGACAGGTCAGAGTACTTTAAATGTTGGTGTATTTTTCGACCTACGCAAATCCGCTATACTCCACTTGTGACCTACGCCAAGTCCGCTATACTACACATGACCTACTAGCACGTGGTTTTACAGCTGCTTTATTGATTTTTTTAACAATTCAATTAAGTTTATGGTTGTCAGTATGTAAATTTAACATTAACATTGACTTTAAAAAAAATTGATGTTTATTTATATGTTAATATATGTATATATATGTATATATGCAGCAGGTCGGAAAGGTCTAAAAGTATCAAAAATAATAAAAATAAAGTAACCATTTGCAGGTGTCAAATTTTTCAGTTTTGCCCCTTTTTCATCAAAGCTCATTCGGACCCAGGATCTGTTAAAAATTTTAATTAATTTATTTATTGAAAATTCTTCTTCTTCTCAGCATTTTAAGTATCAGTATTATAAATCAACACTATTGTAAATGATTTGCGACAGTTTGTGAAGAGAAAATATCTCGTAATAGAATCATTTCCTATCTATTATAGTTCTGAGCTGAACAGAAAAAAATAGTGAATAAAAAATCACAATTTTCGTAACATTCATTTATATTTTGTTATCAGATATTTTGGACCTGAGTCTGGGATTAAGGAGAAGAGGTTTAGAGCAGTACATGATGGAGATGATCAACCCTACCAGGGACCAACTATATTCGATAAGGTAGGGGAGGGGGGGATAGGGTTTAGAGCAGTAGGTTTAGAGCATGACATGATGAAGATAATCAACCCTAGCAGGGACCAACTATATTCGATAAGGTTTAAACATTTTTCAACTGTTAATAAATATATACTTAACTAGTCTGTTTGTTTGTGTCCAATGAACACCATAACAGCAGAACCGATCGGAAAGGTTTATGGACCATCAAAATTGAACAAAAATTCGAATTCGAATTTTAGGATGCGTGAAAAAGCTAACTTACTAAGCAAAAACATAGCTAAAATTGTTTAATGGAATAGAGGCGCGAAGCGCCCTGCCAAGGTAATAAAATGTCCAATCTTTGTATCTTTGAGACCTGATGGTGAAAACTTTTGACTTTAATAAGTAGATTTTAAAGTATTAAGTATTAAAGGACATCAGTTAGTACAGCATTCTCAATATTAGATCCAAACTGTCAATTGTATCAGGTGTTCAGACAACACAGCCGGAAATCGTCGACGGACGAACCTGTTTCGGTATCCCGGTCTGTATCGCCGGAGATCCGTAAACGGAAATTTCCCCGCAGTCCGGATGACGAGGGTAAAAGTAAATATAAAAGTCGGAGGATGAGTCCGGATTCGGATGAGGACAAAGCTAAGGAGGAACTTGAGGCTGAATGGTTGAAGTACAAGGAGAAAACCGAAGCTAAAATTAGGTAAGCCGGCCGTAAGGGCTACATTGAAATTGGGTTAAATTTTTTAGATTCACTTTTTGTTCACAGGGTTGCAGGAGTGTATATTTTCAGAATTACACCCCCTGGGGAGGGAGGACAAATTAAAAATGAAATAACAAAAGGCAAATTTTTTCATTCTTTACATACTTTTTACCCACAAAATCATTGATTTATCCTGAAAATTAATTTAATTTACCAATACGGCGGAAAACCCCTAGCATTTTTTTGCCGCTCTGCGCAACCATAACGATTTTTTTAGAAATTATACACCCCTCCAATTCCAGGGTTGATATCTTATCGAGCAAAGCTTGTAAAACTAAAAAAAAACTGCTACTACTACTACTAGTGTAAGTCTTCTCCCTAGGGTCACCAGTTCGGTTAGCCCATGAATACGTTTCGGCGGCTAGGAGCGCCGACCCCTATTTCCTTGAATGATGGGTTGTCCTATAATAATGATAAAGTTCATTCTAAGATGGGCAATGGGCATTAGGGTGTCCCCTAAAATTTTCCACCCATACTTTTCTTTGTATCCTAAGTTTCCCTGTATCAAAACAAAATATTCTGACCACTATTTCAGATTTACTCTGATTTAAGATACTAACCAAAACGATTTTTCAAAACGATTAGTAAAATTTGTTCAGTTTTGAAAAATCGCTATGGTCAATTATCTGATCCGAGTAAAATTTTAGCTTTGAGTAAAACAAACTTGTCTAATTTTAAACAAAAATTGATTGAATCTTAGATTCTTTTGAAGCCTTTAAAAGCCTAAAACCTTTAAATGATTAAAAAAGGGCCTCAAAACAATTCCTCTCAGTTTCTGTAACTCGTTCAACCACCTCTTTCAATTCATACATCCCAACTATGTTCATTTGCTTGTCATTTTTTCTTATCTAATTCCAAAATATTTTTAATGAAATAAATATTTTTTTAGAAGAGAGAAAAAGAAACTGATGAAATACGAGGAAAGGATTAATCATCTAGAGAACCTGACACAAAATGAACAGGTTGGATTTGTGAAATACTCATTGGATGTCTACAGGCCCGTAGCTTGGAATTTGTAATGGGAGGGGGAGGTGGGGGGGGCACAAATGTTAAAACCCCAAAGGGTCAAAAATAATGACTGAAGACAAAAAAACTTGATTTTTTACTTTTTTAACACACTGTAGTTTTAAATTACCATGGATATTTTGACTGTTTTGCATTATGTTTAAGTTCAATTGAGAATATATTTGCATCAACATAAAATAACTCGAGGTTTCAGATGTAGAGATTTAGGTTTGAAAATGATTGAATCATGAATATCCAATATTTAGTTTTAATACTGGAAAAGTAAAGAATTTAAATGCCTGTAAAGATCAAGATTAACTCAAGCATAAAAATCTTCAGTTTTCCCAAAACTAAAATTCGAAAAAAACTTCCCTCTAAGCTTGATGAGAGTACAAACAGCTTCTCCTGAACCTTGCCATTAATTATATGTATAATTTCAATTTGTTTCCATCTTACTTTTTGCTGTACAATTGTTCATTAAAATCATCTAAGTCATTCGATATATTATTTAAGGAAATATTGAGTATTTACGAAAGAAATACTAATTAAACCTTCCGGTTTTTTATGTCGTCTTTAGGGAGACACTTATTAGTTTACTGTCGAAGTTTTGTAACATTTTTCATCGTCGTTATCGAATAATTAAAAAAAATGTTCCTGAAAATTCGGCCAGAATGGACAATCCCGGAGGATTTTAAAGATTAAATTTGCGCTCTTGCTGAACTATCATACCCCGTATGAATCAAATGAATCCTGAAAAATGTCGTTACAATGCTGCAATCATGTCTAGCCGGATCCCCCTGATTTACGTTAAAGTTCGTTAATTAGATCGACCCCCCACCACTCCTTTATACACACACATACATCTAAACAGTTTGTTTTTAATCTTCCTGACAGAAACAATCTCAAGCAATAATAATTTTCTTAAAACATTTTTTAAGAAGTGAATATTTGAAAATTATCTTTTTTCTTTCTCATGATCTGATTTCGTTTCCCTTATATGTCCATTTGACAGACCAATTTTTAAAAAAATCTTTTTTGTTCGTTAATTTTCTTGTGGTTTTAAACAATTTTTTATTTATTGATTTTGATGGTTATTATACCGTTAGAACTGACGAGGGTCAACTCAGACCGAAATATATTTTTAGTAAATGTGGAACTAACATCTACTTTTTTACTCAACAGAGGTTTAGTCCATCACCATCACCGAATTTTAAATTTAGTTCTGCTATATCAAAACTGTAAGATATTTGGATCCACCAAGAAAGTATATCTGTAATTTCTTTTATGGAAAATGAACAATATCTTAAACTGTTAATTATTAATTGACATTTTGTTTCTCAGGTTCGGTTAAAACCATTAGACATAGAAAAATATGAACGTAGGAAAAGAAAATTGGAAAGTTCAGGAAAACGGAGTAAATCAAGGTAAAGCTAAAGCAACTTCAGTTATTTCCAGGAGTGTACAGTGCATATTTTCAAGAATTACACCCCCTCCCCCGAAGATTTTTGAATATTTTTGAAGATTTAGTGAAATACAAATTTTCTAAAGAGGGTCTGGGGGGGGGTGTAAATTATTTTTGTTCATGTAAATATTCATTATATACACCCCTGATTTTTTCAGTGAATATTGAAGTTATAATGGTACAAAATGCATCGCTCCAATAATACTTTAGTCTGTATCAATCCAGATACACCTCTCTCTGCATTCTTAAGTATGTATCGATCCAGATACAACTCGCTCTCAAACTCTTTACTCTATACACAATAAATAATACATCTGACCGTAATAAAACAGAGCTCATATCCAACTGATCTATATTTTGGGTTTAATAGTTCAGTTGAATAGTATGGACCGATAGGTCTGTTCAGAAATTAACGAAAATAGTTATTAGGGTTATTACAATATTATTACATGATGTAATACAGTTACCATTTTATTTCATATTTAACACTCTAAGTGGAAAATAAGATTAGGAAAAAGTGGATAGTTATGACTCCCAACTGATCCCTAATGTATAATAAATAATATTATTTATTTATAAATATATTATAAATATATTTTTTTAACATCATGTTTGTTTTATTGTATTTAGCTATATGTAACATTAATTTGAAAATTAATTTAACATCTCTTGAAAATCCGCGAAACATCTGTGAAAAATTCTCAAACCATTCATACTGATGATTGAATAAAAGCATGAAACAATTTGTTTATGAATAAAATATTACAAGAAGATTGTTCCGTTTCAACTGATATATTATAAATATATAATTCAGAGGAAGAGATTCAAGTTATGAACCTGATCCAGTAATATCTAGATCTCCTCCTAGATACAGGGGTACACCACCTCCTGGAGCAGATCTCAGACCAGTTCTTATTGAGGGTAATTATTTTTATGATTTACGATTTGCTAAGAAGCATATAATGTTTAGAAATTAAGCAGTGCTTAGGACCCGGATTCGTTGGATCCACAAAATTTTGGCTTCCTGGATCCGGATCCGCTAAAATATGCGAATCCACGGAAACATATAATGGGCTTTTTCTTAAAATATTAAATCCAGGGAAAAATGAGCCGTCATAGGTAGTTTGAAAGCAGTTCTTAGGATCTATTACATTTTGTTGCAGATCAGGGTCCTGGATCCTATCCTAAAGATCAGGACCCTGGATCCGATCAGAAAAACGGATCCATGAACATTTCTTGAAGGTTTACATATTTTTTTAACAAAAGTAGAATTTTTCTTGTTTTTTGTTTATTTTTATGCTGTAACTTTATAAACCATTCAGAAAAAGAGAAATTTAATATAACATATATCGTTTTTTTAACAGTTTGGGTTTTATGAGCAAAAAGTTTTTTTTTACAGTTTTCGGTTTTTTTGCCCCTTTGAAATATGCGGATCATTTCTAGGAAGCTACATGTTGACTAACCAACGGATTCGAATCCTAAGCACTGTTTAAAACTAGTTTTGTTGGCGACGTTTGTAGCTAAGTTCATTAAGAGTCTACAAGTTTGAACAAATGCCATGTGTATTGTGTATCAAAAATAAGTGACAGGTCTAGCTATTTGGTACAAAAATAAGTGACAGGTCTAGCTATTTGGTACAAAAATAAGTGACAGGTCTAGCTATTTGGTACAAAAATAAATACGATGTTAGTTTATATTTAGACAATTTTTATGTTATTTAACGATACAAATTTGTTCACATCTTTAAATATATTTGATTTCCCTGGAAGGTACATGTTTTTAAATATATTTGATTTCCCTGGAAGGTACATGTTTTGACTGTAATACAACTAAATATTGTTCATGTAAGAGAATATCACTTGGTCACTCCTTACCTCCACTTCTAATGGACAACCGGTAAAATGAGTTATTTTCAAACTCCAGGCTGTAAAATTTTATTTTCTAGGTGATGGTGAATATATATCTGAGGATGAATATGATTCAAACTATTCAGGAAAACTTGCATTCATAATTTAATTTTATCCTGAAATGATACGATTAAAAATGTCGTCTTCTCCTGAAGTATTTTCATCGTTTTAATCTCTGTTCTCAATGTATATTATTGGGGGGGGGTACTATAAAGCTTTTTACCGCCTTTTGACCAACATCACGGACCTATGGTTCCCCCAACAGAGGAAGGTTAAGTTATTTAACGTCCCTTGGGACACTTATGAAAAATAACCACACGCTCTCCAAAGTTCTGTAAAAAAATCGCGCATTTTCATCTCAAAAGACGATAAAATTGTGTACAGCTACTTTTTCGGAAATTTAGAATTTTACCTCACCAAGGGTTCCCTCGACCAATTTTGTCTTAAAGCATCCCGCTCTGCGCTCTGGATGTTTTGGTCTTAGCCAAAATTGGTCTTGGGAGCCCTTGGTAAAATAAAATTTACCTTTTTTTCCCTTTTTAAACAGTTAAAAAAACAATGAAATAATCTTAACGTTAAAAATTCCGCTCTCCTCCCTTTCAATGACCAAACACTTTCTTGAGCAAACCCACTTTTTAGAATTGATTAGTTATGAGAGTTTTGTTACAGACTATAAACCTGCAGGTCGAATTCATGATGCTTATAAAAACTACTAAAACTAGGTTTATATTAACATATCTTGGCATTATTTAAATACATTTATTTACTATTACACTCTTTACAGGAGTGCTCAATATATGTTCTAATTATTGACTGTCTTGTATTTATGTTAATAATGGAAATAACGGATTAGCACAGGGAAATTATTTAATGAGTATAAACATTGCAAATGAAATTTTTGGTTTTAAACCTGACGAATTAAATCATCTGGATACATGGCGAGTTAATTTATCTAGAACTTAAACATGGCGACAGGCGAATGAAAATATCTAAATTTTAGACATGGTTAGTGAAATTATCTAGATTTTAAACATTGTTAGTGAAATGATCTAGATTTTAAACATGTTTAGTGAAATGATCTAGATTTTAAACATGTTTAGCGAAATTATCTAGATTTTAAACATGGTTAGTGAAATTATCTAGATTTTAAACATTGTTAGTGAAATTATCTAGATTTTAAACATGTTTAGTGAAATTATCTAGATTTTAAACATGGTTAGTGAAATTATCTAGATTTTAAACATATAATCTATTGACTTAATTATTTATAGTAGAATTTCTGGATAGGAGGGCTAAGGACTCTTCAGTCATTAAAAGCTCAGAGAGAAGGAACTTTTTTTTTTAATAATGTTTTGCGGCAAATAATTTATATTCGCAATGGTAAATTTTTGTTTACAAGACTTGTCTGTTTAAATCTGATTTATATCCCCTCAGAGGCAGTACGCCTGTTTTTTCGGAAAGAAAAATGTTTAAGATGTTGCTGATGAATTTAGAAACTTTAGGCGTTGTAAGCCGCTTATTGATGAGAACCAATTTAAATGTCGAAGCTTATGACTAATGACTCTTCATTACCCCTATCCTGATTGGGCTATTGTTGCCCTTAGAGTTGAGATAGGGTAGCGTGATACATCTGCTTAGTACAACTTTTCTAGGTCTGTTAATAAAAACTTAGACCTCTGGATGAAATGTCAAGGGAGGATTTTTTAAAAGTTCAAAAAGTATGTAGAAAAATTTTCAAAAATAGTTATTTTTACTATTTACAAATATTAACGTATAACAAACATGTTATTATATTCATTTTTCAATGGCTTTTTAAATATATAAGTCTTTGACCTGTATCGTAATTAATAAAAAAAGTTATTAACCATTTTTGACTTTTGTTAAACCCCGACCCGTCATTTGACCGTCCTCCACTCCCTCCACCCTACCTTGTGCATAACAAAAAATTAGCAAATTTGTTCACAACTTTTATGTATGTTAAAAAAGTTTTAGCGTTCTAATGTCAGCCGTTATTCAAGTTATACAAAAGAAACCATAGGGCGGGGAGTGGACCCCCCTCCCCCCATCGTGATAGGGTTAATATTGTAACAACAGCAATATTGAAATTATTATTATTATTATTTGATAAGTTGGGACTCTAAACTTCTTATTAGATATTGAAAACTTGAATATCGTTAACAACCTTTCTTAGTTGCTTTCTTATGTAATGGTTGACGGAATAATGGACAGAAGGACACAACTCAATTGGGTCTAAGAGCTCAGCCATTATCAAATCAACGCATGAGTCTGTTAACAATATTTTCTTATTGTCCATCTCAAATGAACAGTTCAGATTAAGAAAAAATGGTAAGCTAGATCAGCCCGCGTATAACAAGTGCTCACTATGGTTTATATATATAGGGTACACCCATATGTTAATTTTTTAATTATAAGGCAACGGCGTGACACAAAACCTTGTATTCAGTCTTGTGCAAAGCAAATAATAGAAAACTAACTGGAAACAAGTTTACTGACATGCAGTAATTTTGTTTACATGTGCTTACGCCCGCAACCCTTAATTAAACATAGAATATTTTTTAAGTTAAAAATGATATTGAAAACTAATCCTGCATTAGATTATGATCTAGTGTATGTTTGTTGGCTAAAAGTTTAATTGCATCCTGTATCATNCCCCGTAAACAAACATAACTATGCTTAAAGTTTTTTTTGGTCTAACTCATCTATATTCATTAAAAGGGTGTTTTTTCTTCTGTATTACATGTTTCAAATTTGCATAACCATTCTCAATCCATTCTTCTCTTCTTCCTTCTTATTTCGTTTCTTTCGGGCAGCATAGATATTAGGCATTATAGATCTAAATGTGCATATTTTTAGAGAGAAAAAAATACCACTGCATAGAAATTGTTTAAACATGCTGAAATCCATACCATCTATGGGATAACTGAGATGAGATGAGATGAGATGATATTTTTTTTTTTGAGGAATTCTAGCAGTACCTGAGCTTGGCAGGATTCTGAAGGAATGCATGCTGGAGAAGAGTGGTTGCTGAAGCTCTGTTACTAGGATTCTTTGCTAGGCAGTTATCCAGGAATGAGTTGAAGTTCTGAAATTGTTATACTTTTTCTACAGGTTGTCCCACATCATATTAGATTGTCAATGGGTCTTTTTTACAAGTGTTTTTTTATAACTTATGCTTATATTTTTATAAAATGAAATGGTACATGGCATAGTTGATATTTTCAAATGTTCATATTTTTTCTCCTTTCTCCGTCTGCATGTCTGCATGTTCTCTTTTTCTTGCTTCCCTTTGCCCGTCCTTTTACGGCGCTGCTTTTGAACGATTATTAACGAGTTGCTGTCTTTGCGCCAATATAAGACAGTGCAGGATCACCCTTTCATTGAATAGATATCCCCCTCTCCGTTTTTTGTTTGTTTTGCTTAATTTTAATTGCAGCCTCAGCGCTGCACATTCTGTCTACTTGAATTTTCTGAAGTTAGTAATTTTCTTGAACCGCACATTTTTACTTTCCTTTAAAAGGACCATTGCCATTCCAATGATGGAAAATCAAGTGACCCGCTCAAAGGTATTTTTGTTGTAGGATCCAACAGAGAAATGTCCTCAAGTCTCATTTCACTGTTACGAGATGATTAGATGGTAGGTACAGGGTGGCCAAAATGTACGGATTGTATGCATTTTTTTGTAACCCTAAAATTGTTCGGATTGTACGTATTTTTTTCTTTCAAATTGTACGGATTTTTATCCTGGAAATACACCGGTTTTTTTTAATTTTCACTCATTTCAGCAAATTTTTCATGAAAATAAAAAAAATTCTAGTCAAAATAAAGTTAGTTTAACTTATTTTCTGCATTCTAAATAATATTAGATTGATAAATGTTTCAATTGACAATCAAAATTCTTTCATAATTTTCGAGGTATGTTCCAATAGTGTTAATTTGAAAATGTGTTTATCTATCTGTCTAGCTATCTGTCTATCTGTCTAGCTATCTGTCTAGCTATCTGTCTAGCTATATGCTTGGCTGTATGTCTAGCTATCTGCCTATTCATTTGTATATCTATTGGCATGTCAGTATATCTATCTTTTTATTTATCTGTTTTTATATCCTATCTGTCTCTCTGTTTATCTATATGTCAATGTGTCTATCTGTTTCTCTGTCTATTTATCTGTTTATCTATCTGTCTGTCTGTTTATCTATCTATCCGTCTCTTTATCAGATCTGAGAACATCCTCTCAGGTTTCCTCCGTTTATCTGTAAATCTTTTCATTTTTAGTTTAATATTAACTTTCTTTTAATTGAGTGTGCAACCCATGTACTACCTCCCACCACGCTAATTTTTATTATATTAGATCCTAAATCTACACTCCACTTTTTCTAATTATAACTTAATCGTTTGTTTGTTGAATGGCCTAATTCACTCCAATCTGAACAGTTTTAAAAATTAGAATCAATTCTGTTTAGTTCTCTAGTTCCCTGGTTCTCTGGTTCTCTGGTTCTCTAGTTCTCTATTTTCTAGTTCTCTATTTCTCTATTTCTCTAGTTCTCTGGTTCTCTGGTTCTCTGGTTCTCTAATTCTCTAGTTATCTGTTATCTAGTTCTCTTGTTCTCTTGTTCTCTAGTTCTCTGGTTCTCTGGTTCTCTAGTTCTCTTAGTTCTCTAGTTCTCTAGTTCTCTGGTTCTCATGTTCTCTTGTTCTCTGGTTCTCTGGTTCTCTGGTTCTCTGGTTCTCTAGCTCTCTAGCTCTCTAGTTCTTCGCAACCTTATGTTTGTTATTATAAGCTGTGAATTCTGCCAGATTAATTACTAATTAGGCTTTGATTTCAGGTTGCAAAGATAAATGGATTTTAAATGGAATAATATTTTCAAAAATGGTTTTATTTTTCTTAAATGCACGGATTGCAGGGATTTTTTCGAAAATTGTACGGATTTTTAAAAAAAAATATAGGGATTGTACGGATTTTTTTTTCGAAAATTGTACGGATTTTTTCTGTAAATGAACGGATTTTTGTACGGATTGTTTCAAAAAAGTTTTGGCCACCCTGTAGGTAGAGGAGTGTGGAGATGAAGACAAGGGTTTGTAGGAGTGACGTATCAGGAATGTTTTATTAAAAAATACTTCATTTCTCCACATATACTGTTTCCCAGTCCAGTGGAATTCCTTAGAGAGTATCGCATTAAGTGTGCACTACTGTATCCAGAATGCAGAGTTGTCTCTTTTTGTCATCTGTGGAGCAGGGCCCTTCCAGATAGGGCTCTGATTGATAAGTGGAGGATCATTTTGAAACATTAAATAATGCTAATGCATAAAATTTTTTGCGCAAAAGGCTAGGTTCTTTGAGTTTTGTGTTTATTTGGCACTAAAACTTGGCGACAATAAAATTAGTATGGGACGCTCTGTATGTTGTGATTAGTAATATTCTGCCGTAGCTATAATGTGATTTTGCCTAACATTATTCCTCACATTGTTGAAATAAAATCTTTATGCTGTTTTAGCTTGGAACTTGTCTTCAAAGAATTACCTTAGATATGTTCATATGGTTCATCGCTGGTCTTCCTCTTGTTCTGATGAAGTACATGGCCTATCAAAACATCTTAAATGTAGGGTCTAATATGTCCAATGATAAATTTCAATGTGAAATTTAAATTCCTAAGTATATACTATATATACATAGTATAGGTTACCCTAATGACATTGAAACTGCAAATATAAACTGAAGTTTTAACCTGTCTTAAAAATATCATTAAAGGCAACACCCTTTTCCAATTTAAAAGAGCTGTAACTATATTCAAGTTAATTTTACTTTAGATATTCCTTGAAGTTCTTAATTCATAAGTAGAACTCTAATACCTGTGTAGGGGTCTCATCAAAAAAAGGAGGTTTACCCTAAAATATTTCTGTAGATAAAGAGTGAAGTTGATATTGAAATTAAAAAGCATTAAAAGTATAACTGGATATCAAGAAACAACTGAATTTAGTAAGAGGAAACCTACATACTTTCTGGCCAGCGCATGTGATAGATCTTAACCCTATTCCTGCTGGGGGGGGGGGGCTCAATTTGACCCCCCCCCTCGTAGTTTTTACATAACTTAAAAAGTATTGGTTTGAGGCTGTTGAAATTTTCTGACTTTTCCTACATACCCAAAGCCCCTAAAACCGGGCTTTAATACTAACTGCCTGAGTCCTCAGGCACACAGCCTGAATGACTGCTTTTTCCTGTAACAAACTAAATCTTTGTTTTGACCCACTTCCACTTGTCAGATTTTGATACAATTTAGCTTTTTGGAAAACCTTTGACATAAGGAAACGAATTGCACAAGTTTTGCGAAAAAAAAAGATCGCAAACAACCTGACAAAGGAAATTTTTTAGTTTTGCTTGATTAAAAATCAAAATTTTGCAAAAATGTTTGCATATTTAAAATCGCATGGTCAAGGGCTTTTCAAAAATGTATAATTTTTCATTTTTTGGACTAATTTTTTTTTGCAAACATTTCGCGATAAAAAATTCAATTTTTGCAAATTTGCAAATTTTTTGCAGATTCTAAAAGTAGAGCACAAGAGCTTTCCAATGATGTATCATTTGTCATATTTGGACATCAAACATGGGATTTATAGGGGGGGGCAAATTGACCCCCCCCCCCAGCATATCCTGGTTTTCAAGTACCCCAGCAGAGAAAGGGTTAAAATATGTTTGGTTTGGCTAAGTAAAGTTAGTGAAGTTTGGAGGAGTTATATAAAATGGAAAGATAATTTCAAGGCATAAAATCGCAGAGCCACAAACTTTCTCAAAATGTATTTATAAAAAGTAAATAATAATAGTTTTGAATATATACTAGAGAAGTATAGGTTAGTATTGTTTTCCATCCTGAGATAGGTTTTCTCACCTCATGCATTTCAATTGCAAGGATTCCAATGGACCAGATATCAACGCCTTATTTATTTTTTGGTTCCTACATATTTTCCATGTTGCCATTAAAATGAAAAAATGTATATTGTGTAATTTGGAAAAATATTTTCATGAACCAAATGTTCCCTTTTCCATAATGTTGGTTTCCAATAACTTCTGGAGCCATCCAATATGGAGTTCCTAGTAAAAAATTTGCAAGGTTAATCTGCCTTGTACAATGTTCAAGTCTAAGTGTAATTGAAAATTACTGAAATTGTGTTAATTTGAATACAAATCAAAACATTTTATTCTGAAAATTTGCCTTACAGCTAATTTTTGTTAATTCATGGTTATAAGATGCGGTTTTAATCTGTCCTTCTCTGATGGACTTGAAACACATTTTCTGACCTGCAAATGTTTTTCTAGTCCTATTCCCTGCAACATTTGCCGCAAATCCAAAATCTGTCAGTTTAACATGTCCATCCACTCCCAGAAGGATGTTGTCTGATTTGATATCTACAATATTTAGATTAAGCTACAGGATTATTATTATCTGTTAAGATCAAACATTTAAACAAACAGACATACAGAGAGCACTTCTTTATATATATATATATTATATATATTATATATTCAGAGAGTACTACTATATATATATATATATATGATATATATTATATATTCAGAGAGTACTACTATATATATATATATATATATGATATATATTATATATTCAGAGAGTACTACTATATATTTATATATGATATAGATTATAAAGTAAATTGGAAAAGAAAGGTTGAAGCCAAGCTCTATTCTAGACAATTTTCATATGCCTGGTTTTGACTTTTTTGCAAAGCAATAAATTTATCTGTTTTATTACCTCTATGAATAATTTCATTTTTATGCAGAAACTCTATTCCTCTGACGACCTTAGATTATAATGTTAGACAGCCTTGCAAGTTTTTATTCTAATAATTGCAAGGCTGTGTATTTTATAATCTTTTAATGTTTAATTTAGAATTTATCTTGTTATTATGAAGTTTTGGAGGAAGTAAGAAAAATGGTACTTTAACATGCTAGTTTTTTAGATTTATGAATACTTTCCTCAGAAGTTTATTTATATTACCATAAAGTTAATCTTTACTCTTACCGTATCACTCTTTTATATAAAGCAATACCTCTCTAGTAACTGCAGCAATTTGAGGTTCTGATAGTATAGTGTAAAGAACTACATCAGTCAGAGCTCCCCCCTAAGTAATGTTTGTTTAGTGAGAATTTCTTCAGTTGTTTACAGTACTTGTCTTAAGTTATGTACTTATCTTTGCATTTATTCAGTCTTCTGTGTGCCTTTAACTGAACCTAGAATTCAGTGTGCTTTCTTGTCACTTCCCTTATTATGAGTTTTGGTAATTTAGAATGTTCAATTGACTTACTGAAACTAATTCCATAACCAGCATTAGATAGTTTCTCTCCAGGAACAGTTCTTCATAGTTTACAAGGTTTGGATGTTCAAGCTCTCTCAATACCTAAACAGTTCAAATTTAGTCAGATTCAGTGTGTGACATCCTCTGTAATCTTGTTTAAAATTTTGAAAGTCAAAAACTCCTGATGGTAAAAAAGATAACTTAAAAACTTCAAAAATTTTAATTAAAAAAAAAATATTTTGATTTCTATATTTATCTCCAAAACTATATCTTTTTACCAGATACATTATTTTAACTTAAGAACAAACATTTTATCATTAAATAAAGTTTTTGATTTAAAGAAATAGTTTGAGTGACTAAAAAATTAATCAAACCTTTATTTCCATGAGTAAATGGTCTTTTCTCTCTTGGTCAGTGATGTCTATTGCTTTTACTGCTACCTTAACATATATTTCATTAAGATTTGTTGTCAATACCAATATAAAAATAACATAATAATTATTATTGAATCATAATGATTAATTGATAAATTTAATGAATTTTGTAAACCTCTTTTCCTGTACGTTTATGCATAGCTAACATAACCTTTCCACTTGCTCCTTCTCCGAGCTCATACTAAATGTTAGACATTTTAATAATATCCTTTTTAAAATTTTCTGTTCTAGAATGATCAGTCGTAAATTTCAAAATTTTTAATGATTTTGCATTCTTCACAGCTTTAACTAATAGAGGAATTCAGGCTTTTAACTAATAGAGGAATTCAGGCTAAGTTAGATGAGATGCAAAAGCACCTACAAGGAGGTGCATTATAAATTTTAAGTGTGGAAAGTTATTATTAACTCAAACCTTGAATTCATACACAAACTTAATAGATTCCTTGCTGCACATTTCTCGGAAAGCATTCATAATTTCCATATCACTAATAAATGAAATATAATTAATTTTCAATCAATTTGATGATCTTTTTTTGCATTATACTTTAGTTTAGAGATGGCTCTCAAATGATATGCTGAATCTTCTTTTTGCACCCTCAACAGAGCCTAAAATAATTTTTTATTAAGACTTTAAAAATGTTATCATTAAATGAATTCAAAGGTTAAACCTTTTGTTGAGGTTTTGCTCTGGTTACCCCTTGAGTGTTCAGTATTCCTTAAAAACAAATTTGTCAAATAGTTTTTTTAATTTTGTAGATTCCACGGATCCTTACCCTTGTTTTTTAAAGAAATATGATCAGGTCTTGGTGGTATGTCAGGTTTAGCTACTCCTGAAATTTTGAAATGGTTAGTTTAAACCGCCTCTAGTGATTATGATAAATGATAGCAATCAAATGTATTTTATTTCATAAAGTTGCACTAAACTGATTTGGTTTGTTCATTTGATTAAAATGTTTAACCTTGGTTTGAAGATGAGTCTCTAGAAAGCAATCTATTTAGATCCAATGCCTCAGTGTTGAGATCATGATTATTAGAAGTATCTGCTTCAGCTTCCTGTTTTCTGAAATAACAGGGTTGCATTCAGCACATTATGTTTGTTTTTAAATTACTTGACTCCCTAAAAAATACTTTTAAAAAAACTAAAATCCTAAAATTTAGAAATTTTTAAAAATAAAAACTATTTTAAAAAATGCAGGCATATTTGAATTAAAAAGTTATCTTGCTGAAAAAGTTGATTGAAATAAATTTTTCTTGGTTTTCTAATCAATTGAAAAACTCCATGTTGATTAACTGTATTATCAACTTTGTCTTTTGAATTTTTTATGCTTTTTTATTCTTCCAAAACAAATTCAGGGAAATATACACCCCTGGCTTTGCATTATCACCTTAGTGATGATTCTGATTTACATCTTTGTAAGTTTCCACCATCCACTGAGAGCATTTTGAAGTATGTATTGGTGACTGATGGAGTACATAAATCATCACTAGATAAATAGAATCAAATCCCTAAAGCACGAGATTGAGAAAATAGTAATCCAAAGTTTTAAATTTTTATTATGAATTTTGTCAAAGGTTGATGCAAATTGCATAATTTCCATTGCATTCTAAAGGTGTAAATCAAAGGTAATTAAATCGACCTGTTTAATGAATCTGAATTTGTACGCTTTTTCTGCTTTTTGGTGTAGAGACCATAGTTTGAAGAGTTTAATGTTGGGTTCCTACTCTTTTCATATCTATCATATTATCTAATTCAATTTATGCTTATAATATATATGAAAAAGATTTCTGCTTTTTAAACTCACCTTTCATCATCCAGAGTCAGAAATCCTCCTTCATTGATGTTCAAATCCTTCATATTATTCTTTAAAAATGGATGTTGCATCTAATTTGAAAAAAAATTTCACACAATGTTTTCAGTTCCATTTTTTAAGACAAATATGTGCACGTGAAATATGTGCAAGCTATTCTGATTTCTGAAATTTTTCTGCCTAATTTTTTGGCAAATATTTTCTACCCGAGTGGACCATCCGGGACTAAAAAGGAGACTAGGACAGTCCTTGCGACTAACTTAGGCACTCTTTTGTTTAATGTAGCAAATTTCAGAGAGCGGAGATGATCCCCAGCATGGGGTCATTCAGAAAACAAGCTAGAATGAGACTAAAAATATGCCTATTTGAGATATTTTTTTTTCCCACAGTTTTAAGTTTGGGTTTATGGGGGGAGTGTCCTAAGAAAGAGAGGTAAAGAATGTGTTACTATCTTCCTGTCATTGTCTTATCTTTCTATCTATGTTGTGAATCTATAATCTCAACCAGATGTTAAAATTATCAGAGACCTCCCCTTCCCTGTCTTCTCCCCCTCTCCTCCCTCCATGTCATATAAGCTGTTAGAGGCGGATCTTGTTTAGGCAGTTTTTTAGGCAAAATTAGCCTGATGTAGTTTAAGCTGTTTCGATTGTGAATTATTTTGACTAAATGCAACTTAAAATTATTTTTTGTTGTTAAACAAAATTTTATAAAAGTTTATCAAAAATTTAATGTAACAAAAATATTTTAAAATTTTTCAAAATCACATTTTATTTTTTTCAAGTCTTATAAAATACAAAAAAATAAAAAGTTTAAAATTTTTGTCCAAAACATTGATAATCCCTTTTTTTTGGTTGGGGAGGGGGGGGGGGTAGAAGTTAAGTATATGGCCGGAAGAATATCACATATCCCTATTTACCAAATTTTGTATTTCACCAACGGTGCGTAAATATTTTCACACCGAACGTAGTGAGGTGTGAAAATACTTTCATTTGAATGAAACTACATTAGATGCCACTAGATGGCTCTAGTAGTGCTAGTTTAAAATCTATGTATGTATGAATGTATTTAAGTTTTTACAAATTTTTCTTCATAATATTTTCTAATTTACATAAAGCTTTAATAAACTTAATTATCTGTTTAATATTTTTTTCAATTGCATCTTATGTGAATATACTCACAGACTTGGGAGGGGGGTTGAATCTTTAAATGCTCAGAGCAAGTTGTTGTTAATTATGAATATACTTCACAGGATCATTTCTGTAGCATGATTGACAAGTTTCCTGTCTGAAACTTGAAATCTTACTCAGCCATGATGATGAGACACATGGTCTGTTCAGAGAATGATTAAGTTACTTTTTTAATCTGAGCATAGACAGGATTTTTATGGTTGGGGGGTACCTTGTGAACGCCCCTGACCTGAGAGAGCTTATAAACAATATTTTAGGCACATATTTAGTCCTATTTTCAGTTTCCTAATTAGGCGGGCAATCCTATTTTTAGTTGCCTAATTAGGCGGGGGTTGGACGCATTGCCAGCTGCGCCAGCTGCCTTCCATGGTAGCTGTAAATGCCACAGCTGGGCACACAGACACACACATACGGACAAATATAGCGAGACCCCCTGTTGGGATATTGAACTTGTAACCCCACACCTTTTCCGTTCTGAGCACTGACTAAAAATGGGCTTTTCAGTTGTATTTAGTCGTGATCCTCTTGATGAATGATAAGTGTCTCAAGGCGCTTAAATAATACTGACTACTAGTCACAAATAGTCTCTAAAATTTGCGACCTTGGTCAACCCGGGTACGCAATGTAGAATATTCGGCCTATGATTTTTCCATTTTGGGGAACCCTAAACACAATGTTATGAAACAAAATAAAATGAAATATAACCTTTGATTTGTGTTCAGATAGAAACTCTTGAGACCTGAAAATTAATCAATTAAAAAATAAATTTACTTTGCCACTGGGTTTTCAAACAGAATTTATTTAGAATATTATAACCTTTCCAGAAAATCTCTGCTGAAGTTTTTAAAGAACTCCATAACTTGATTTCCTGCTTCAACTGCTTTTGTATCACCATTACTTAAATCTTCTTGGATCTGACAAAAATTAGATCTTGCTAGAATGTGCTTTTATTTTTTCAATCTGGGCATGTATTCAGTAAAAATCAGAAGTAGTTAACCCAGGTACTGGTTTAGCCAGTTCTTTTGTGCACCAGGGCAGGTTGAATGAAATGGTTAAATTTTAAACCTACACAGTTCAACCACTTCTTCTGTTACATCTAGGCCCTGATTTTATAATGAAAGAGTTTGTTTCAAGCAGTACACATCTTCCATACATGTACAACATGCTGTACAATACATGACTTTTGAATTGGCGGGTACATGATGGTCTCTTAATGACCTTGTACTCACATTAACAATAGAAGTTGTTCTTGATGGCTCACAAAAACTGAGATTGACAGCTGTCTAAAATTTATTTTGAATTTTCTGTGCCATTCCTTAACACTTTTATAGTAAAACTTGATCTAAAAGTATTAAACCATTGGCTGGTTTTTAAGAGAGACACAAGGATTAATAAAGACAATAAGCTGTCATTCTGAGCAAGATTGACCAAATCCAATAATTTGTTAACCAAGTAGTCCTGACATGCTTGAGTCACTGTGATATTATTTTCATTATGATTGGGTGATAATTAATCCTTTCCAATTCAAATGTCCGGTACTGTATTGTAAGTAATTTTGTAATGTGTGTGCTTATTGAATGGATATTTACCATGGCGTTTAGTTTTTCAGCCCATCCCTCTGGTAATCCCTCATAAGTGCCATCTTTTTGCTTGGAGACCTGAATAAAAAAAAAGCTTATTTTATGCTAAGAATCCATGCTATAAAAGATTTTAAGAAATTTTCAGACAGAAATTATTTTAGTATGCTAACCTTAAAGTTATGTGTGACAAGAAATGGAGACCCAATTTCCATAGAACTTTTGGAAGGACGCTTAGTGTATCCAAGATTTCTACAGAGGCAAAATATTTTTAGGGCCAATTAAGTCACAAACAGTTATTATGAACCAATATTTTTAGAGAAAATTATGACAGATCCAATGACACTAGAGCATACAATACAGACAGTGTTTACAATGCTATATTGAAATCTTTAACCCCATCAGGGCGGTGGGGCCTGAACAGGGTTTCCATTTTGGAAATGGAATGATCCGGAAATTGTTGTGTAAACAGAAATTCCGGGATAATTCCGGATCAAATGGAAACAGGAATGTTTAAGGTTTACATGATGTAATCCAAAAATAACATAAACCATAAAATTTCCTGTTTCCATTTTGTAAGCTGGAAATTTTAACACAATGTAATGTTAAATCATTTCAAACCTATTAGTTGACATACATTAAATAAGCATTTTAGTTCTATAATTATATGTTCACACTATAGTTCATCATGACTACTTTACAGTTTTTATTTCACTCACTGCAATATTTTTTGACAATCTAGTTTTTAATTTTCAAGAGAGTCATCAGATAGGTTAGGCCCACTACCCCCTCTGTATTTGATCAGGATAGTATGAATTGAACCATAAAAATAAGAGTTCATAAAAACTAGGCTTTAAATTTAAAATAATAATAAATTTTGATATTTTTCCCATACAAATTTTTAAACCAGGTTTAAACCTTTTATAAATAGAGTGAGAACCAGAAAACTTTTAGACTTAAGTTATGACTTTAAATAGTTCAATGAACATGAGACACAGCGATTACATAGCGCATATACTACACTGGATACAGACCAATTTAATAGTGATTTTATAAGTTAATATTTAACCTATTTGCTTTCTAACAACATCAAATAGACTAAAGGATTGCTATATATGTCAGTTTTCTGTAGACAAAATTATTTTGAAAAATGGAAGTCAAGATTTATATTTTATGATAATTCACAGTAGTATTACTTTAACTACAGCTAAATCAGGCGCACATTCTATTATTATGTAGATTGTAGATAGTATAGCAGAGCTATGATCGTTTTTGATTTTTCAGCAATCTACTGCTCAAAGGGATATAAACCCAATCTGTATATATTCAGTTATTATTATAATGATGCTAAATTTGTAGTTATAGATAGACCAAGCCACGCCAAAATCTGGGATTAGCTTCTACCTGATGCTATCCCTTATCTCAGAGTAGCGTGGTGGAAGGGGCGTTGACCCGCTGAGCCAAGGAGGCTAGGGATGGATCCCCGGCAGGAGATGGCAGGTCAAAAGAATGCTTGCTGATGAGGCAGTTGTTGATCAACCCTTTCAGAAAGCAGTGGGAGTGGAATAAAGCTGTTTTCAATCTAAATTGATCCTTGCTTCGATTGCTTATTTGATCGTATAGTATTGGTTTGTATTTATAAGTTAATAAATTATAATTTCATACTCTAGAAATATCATTAGTATGAGTTGTTGATTTCAGTCCAAAATATATATCCTTCAGTTTACTTTTATCATATACAACAATAGTATCACTTACTGGTTTTATATTTTACATAAGTTTAAGATTTTTCTGGAACCTTTTCCTGGAAAATTTCACTGTGATTTAAATATATCATGCCCTCAAGAAAAAAATGGTGAGAACTTTGCCAATAACATCCTAAAAACCGAAGCTAACAATAAGTGCTTTATAGTGCTAAAATGTATAGAAAAGCACAAGTAAGCCTTAAAATCAAAGCCCAAGGATTGGGACATTTCTAAGGAAACCCTGTCTTTAAAATTGTTTCGACTTTATTAAGCTGCAGGCTTCATTTATGTGATGCATAGTCTGAAGAAAAGGGTCTAACAGTAAAGATATGGACGGGAGGTGCAACACATGATAATTGATCATAGGTGTATCAAGAATGTTATACTCTGTGTACGTATTGAAACCAGTTCTCTTTTGGCGGAATTTGTAAACAAGAATAGATGCATCAGTGTTTCGTTTAGTATCCGAGGAGGTTAAAAGCATTAAATTTTGAAAATTTTGATAATTCACATAATAGTTTCCTTTGACCAGAATATTTCATCGATTTTTTATGTGAAAGATGGATCCCATTTCAGGCTTCGACATCTGTCTTGTGTTTACATTACCGCCCAGAGACAGTACACTGTAGTACAAAAGATGTGTACACTTCTGAAATAGCTTTCCTTGCCTTACAATCCTTGAGTTGTATGGTGATATAGGGTCAAAAATGAGAGTGTGAGAGCAAAAACTATAGCATCATGAAACAAGAGAAAAAATCTATCTATATTATTAACAGTGCACGGGATTTCTTATATTACACAATAAATATAGAAATGTAATTCTAATGTTACTTTTAAATTAATTATTTAGGTATCACGAAACTTCACAAATATGCATACAACACCACTTTAACATCTGTGACTCTGAATTCTAAATATTTTATGTTCCTGAATAGTTCCATGATTTATGCGTGGTTATATTATATTGAGATATGCCAATCAAACTGAATATTAGAAAGCAGCAAGGGCTTCTATTCTTATCAACAGGAATATACTGCATTCTTGATAAACATTCCAGGGGCTGTCCTACTGTCCTTTATACTTACTTTAGCTGTTTGTAAATTCAAATCGTATCTTTATTTATTCTTTCTTGATTATTTTGTTCTTCATTCTAACTGATTGTTCTTCACTTCCAGTTCCAGGGTTTGTATTTTCTTTTAATCAATTACCTCCTCTCTGCTTCAAAATAAGATATTTTTTTAGTGTATTATTAATGATTGAGTAAATTGCCATTTTTGTATTGCGTTTTACATTTGTTCTAAATTTATATATTAGCTAATTGTTCCAACAATTTTTTCTTCATGTTTACTATCCTAGCATGGATCACATTCATTTTGAAAAAAAGATAATGTTATTATTTTTTTATTTTTTTAGAGTAAAAATATGATTTTTGGATTATTTATTTAGGTATATTTATCTTTTCTTGATCCCTGATACATGCAGTAGAGGTACTAGAGTGAAAATATGAAGATATCTTGGTGTACTAATGCAGATACTCAGATGATAGAATAATGAAGATGGAACATTATGCTACCGCAATACAACGAGGGTCAACAGTATAAAGGAAAGATAATCAGAAGTATATACATGTATCAAGGAAAGATAATCAAGACGTATATACATGTATCAAGGAAAGATAATCAAGACGTATATACATGTATCAAGGAAAGATAATCAAGAAGTATCTCCATGGATCAAGGAAAGATAATCAAGAAGTATCAAGGATGGAAAATCAAGTAGTATCTACATGTATCAAGGGAAACAATCAAGAAGTATATACATGTATTAAGAAAAGAATAGTCAAGAAGTATATACATGTATCAAGGGAAACAATCAAGAAGTATCTACATGTATCAAGGAAACAATCAAGAAGTATATACATGTATCAAGGGAAACAATCAAGAAGTATCTACATGTATTAAGGAAGGAATAGTCAAGAAGTATCTACATGTATCAAGGAAGGATAATCAAGAAGTACCTACATGAATTAAAGAGTATCTAAATGTAACAAGGAAAGCTAATCAAGGAGGATCAACAGTATAAAGGAAGGATATACATGTATTTAGGATTATCTAGATTCTACTTGTATCAAGGAATTAAAAAGGAAAGCTGAAAAAACTACAAATATCGACATGTCTGTTGAATTTATTATAATTTATGTCTGCAAAAAACTTCTTCTTCTCATATTGCAGACCTAAAGTTCTTGCCGTACCCTGATATCAACTATTCTTGTCTATCACTTATTTATAGAGAATTCTTGCCGCAACCTGATATCAATGACTGGAAATCAACTATTCTTGTCTATCCTTTATATCTAGTTAATTCTTGCTGCAACCTGATCTCAAGTCTGAGAATGAACTATTCTTGTCTATCCTTTCTATCTAGAGAATTCTTGCTGCAACCTGATATCAAGTCTGAGAATCGACTATTCTTGTCTATCCTTTATACCAAGAGAATTCTTGTCTTAATCTGACATTAACCCTTGAAATAAATGCTTGTCTATCCTCTATAGCTAGATAAGTCTTGCGGCAGCCTGCCATCAAGCCTGGAAATCAACCATGCTTTCCATTTAATAAGAGTAATTGAGAAGCCTGAAGCACCAGTGATTAATCAAGCATTCCTTTTGCAGTAGAGATACCCTATGGAGTGAGGGAAGGCAGACGGCCATGAGCCACCACTATTTCCTCGTCCGGGCCGCATATTAGCTATTTTCTTTTCCGGCAGCCTTGAGCCACCGCTATTTCCTCTTCCGTACCACCACATTTGACTCTTCCCGGCAAAACTACTTTTTTAAATGATACATTTAGGGCCTTTAAAGTGTGATTTTCAAAAATCCAGCCATTTCACACAAAAAATATTTACTTTAATCTTTATATTAGAGTGTTAATATGAAAAAAGGATGATTCCTCTTAATGTAAACTGCAAAACTTTTGATTGCAAATCTAAATTCTGACTTTCATAAAAAATGGCTTGTTTTTAAAAATCTGTAACGGGTAAGTAATGAAAGTATTGTGATTTTAATAATATTTTCTTATTCTTTGGACTACTCTGAACAATTTTTCTCTGCTCCCACAATACGAAAAATTACTTAGTTTACCGGCTAAAATCTAAAACAATCGACCTCTTTTTTATATATTAATATATTAATATTATGTAGAATTAAAAGTGGGTTTCGTTGTGCTGTTTTCGGCGTGTTGCCGCTGGATTTTTTACAATCACACTTTAAAGGCCCTAAATGTACCATTTAAAAAAGTATTTTTGCCCGGAAGAGTCAAATATGGTGATAAGGAAGAAGAAATAGCCGTGGCTCATGGCTTCCGGAAGAGAATAAGCTACTATGTGGCCCGGAAGAGTAAATATTGGCGGCTCATGGCCGCCTGCCTTTCCCCAGCTCACCCTAGACTGTCTTTTCTATACATTCATTATTGGTCAAGATTTAGTTGCATTAGGATTTGGGCCTAAATAAAACCGGTGAACAAATATTTTTTTTTAATCTAAAAAGTCTTTTACTCTAACTATATTAAGTATGTATCACAAGTGACAATATACTTTTAAATAATACAGGGTGTCCCAATAACATCACCATAGTTTCAGTAGTAGTAAATATTTTCATTTACTGATAGCGCCGATTGAAGGATTTATAACTCTGATTGGATAATGAGATAGATAGAAAGATAGATGTTACCGCCAAACTAATTCTATTGGTTCAGAATAGACATCAAACACATCACTGAACCCTGATTGGATCAAGCGCTAATGGACTCGGCATACAGGAGTGACATTGGAATGCTGACATTTAAATTCTATTTCAAAAAGACTAATTGAGGACAACTTTAGCATGAAGATATGTTTTACGACAACACTGATTTTTTTCTCCAAAATATTCATATTTTACTGTCGTTGTTCTTAAAATCTAGGAGAAATTTAAAATTCAAATAATTTTGTCAAATTCTGCAGTTCATTGTCACTTTTGAATGTAAAAAAAGGCATACTGAAACTAGGAAAAGGAGCGTGTTTAAAAATGGATTCCCAAATTTTTATGAACAACCTTCAACTTTAAAAGAGTTTTAGTTTATACAGGAGAAAATTTAAAAATTTAATTTCTCAAATTTTTTTTTCATAATAATTTAATTCAGGTTAAATCCGGATGGTTTAGGTTTAGAGCTAGTATCTGCTTTATTTAAGTAAGTACAAATATTATCAATTCTTTGGTAATATATATTTAAACAAGGGTAAATAACTTGTACAATACCTTTAAATTCATATATTTGAGAATGTAATGTGAACTCTGAGAATTCCATTTTCTAAAGTTTATATTAGCTAATCAAGAATTCTATATATAAGTTTATTATATTATAAACTTCACTGAAATATTGCTCCCTTCGGAGCCAAACCAAATAAATTTCCGCCATATTGTACAGCTGGACTCAGCTGGTGAATCATTTGGATAAAAACCTAAAGAATTCTAAATTTCAGGACACTTGAGGGGGGTATACAGGGGGGCAATAATTATACTCGAACTTTTAACGAAGAATGGAGGTGGGTGGGTGGGGGGGGGAATTAGTTTTTGTTCCCCTCCTCCTTATGGAAAATTCTTCATGTTTTTTTGCTCTAACGAATAAATTAATATTTGTTTTATAAAAATTGGACATTTATCATTATCACAGTCTGTATTACCCAATTTTTGCAGATTGGTGTTTACAATCCCCCCTTGAATATACTGTTTGAAAAGTCCCTGGTCCCTGGTCCACTTTATGGCAATATTTGGGTTTATCCTCATGTTAAA